GTGCAGGCTCTGGGGGTGCCCCCAGGGTCAGGGCAGAAGAAACCAGAATGGGCTACCCCAAGCTCTCCTGCAGGGAGGGTCCCCTTAAGCTTTCAAGGGCATGTTATTTAATTTCCCCCATAGCTGCTCCACCCCCCTCAGGGCAGGAGGGGGCAGGACATGAAGCACCACTCACGGGTAGGCCCTGCTGGCCGGGATTTCCACTGAGGCCTTGTACACCCTCCTGTCCCTGGAAGCCAAGGAGAGACAGGTGAGGGGGCCCATCTTGGAGGGGGCAACTTTCAACCTGGAGGTGCCCTGGGGAGCTCTTGCTCTTCCTAGCCATGTGTCATTGTTCCCAAGCCCCCGCTTCCTCATCTGCGAGGATGGAGGGAAGGTAGAGACCCTGCTGGGGGCCCAGTGCTCATTCGTTCATTCAGTGGCTTGTCTCCTGCCTCTGTCCACTGCTTCTGCTGGGAGGGCCATCCCTTCCTGGCCACAGATGGAGAGACGGGGCCCTCAGAGGGGAGATGTCTTTCTCCCCAACCTCCTCTCCCTCGGAGAAGGTCTCAGACAGACCCTTTCATCATGACTTACACCTGAGCCCTCCTTCAGGGGCGTGTCCTTAGGCACTGCTGGTGGGAGGAAGGGCTTGCGTCCTGGTGAAGGCTATTCTGATCCCAGGGAGCACATGACAGGTAGCACGTGACAGGTGAGGGGGCTCGGGGCTGAGGAGTGCCCACTTATCCCACTCCAGTTGCTGCCAGCAGGTAGGAGCTGATACTTACAGGGTATCCAGGGTCCCCTGGTTCGCCTCGGTCTCCTCGGTCACCCACAGGGCCCTGAATGACAAAGACAACAGCAAATATGGGCCACCAGCTGCAGGGGATGCCTGGCCTGGGCCTCACTGGCTACACCCTCTGTGGAGCTCGAAGCAGCCTCACCCTGCTCAGCCTCCCCCTCCCTCCGCAGGAGGCCGGGCCCCACCGTGGCCTTCACCCAGGAGAAGGAAGTTGGGGGACCTTACCGGATCTCCAGGTGACCCAGGGGGCCCCTCAGCCTTGCCATCCTCGCCCTGCTCCCCCTGTGGACACAGAAGCAGCTTTATAAACTTACCTACTCTTCCTGAATCCAAGGGATTCCAGACACTCCAGACTGAGGCCAAAAGGGGCTGATCAGAGGTTGGGTCCAGCCTACTTAGGGTTACAGATGGGGAGACTGAGGCCAGAGAAGGAAGGGGCAGACATGGGGTCAGAGCCAGCCCTGAGCATGGAACCAGGATTGTGGAGCACAAAACTGCTCATTAGCCTCCCTCCTGAGCACCCCAAGCCAATGCCCTCGGGCTCTGAGTGGAGCCCATGGTCACACCCTGCTTTGCGAAGGATCTTGGAGCTCCTCTTCCCAGCTGGGAAATGGGGTGAGGAGGGGTGAAGGGAACACGGGGGGGGGTGTGTGTTCATGAAGTGATACAGAAGTCCCTGCATGGCACTCAGCGGGGAGTGACAGTAATTCCAACAGCTGGCATGCATGGGCACTGCCACAGGCCAGACACAGGTACTCACTGAGTCCTCCCAGCAACCCCACGAAGTAGGCACTATTATCCCCATTCTACAGATGAGGATGCCAAGGCGCAGAGGCGATGTGAGCAGCTCAGAGCTGTTTAGCCCTCAATCAGAGTCCCTTTCTGTAACCTTTGTTGGGAGAAAGTGGGCCAAGAACCAGCTTTAGGACGAATATCCCACCCTTGATGGGAGCCCAAGAAGGCCCTGGGCTGTCCCAGGTTGCACTCAGCAGGAGACCAAGGTGGGGATTTTATCCATAAGCCAGTTTCCTATCTGCAAAATGGGGTTTTAACACCTGGCAGCGTTGCTCTGAGGCTCCAGGGAAGAAAGGTTTGCTCAGCTGTCGGCATGCTACTGCACATAGTCGGGGCTCGCAGATGGCTGTGAAGATTGTTGTGCCACACAGAGGTAGTCAGAGTTTAGAGTGGAGGTCCTTGGGCCGTGGCAGGCCACCCTGGGCCCTGGTCCACCTGCAGGGCAGGTGGCTGGACGCCACGTGCCAGCTACACGGCAGGTGTGCGCAGAATAGCAAGTGGAAGAACCTCTGAGCTCAGAAAGCTGCAGCCCCAGACAACACTGGTGTCACCCCCCTGGGGCGTATTCTGGGCAGGGGGCTCAAGTGAGGACACCTCTGCGCCCCCTTGCTGTCAGCAGGGGTTTGAAGGGGAGGCCTGAGAGGCAGAAGAGAGGGGCGCTGTGCCTGGCGCCAGAGCCCGTCCCAGGCACGACAGTCCCCAGGGCTGGCGGCAGCAGCACCTTGGCCCAGGGCCTCTGTGGCTCCTGTGGGCAGAGATGGAAGGCAGGAGGGACTTGGCCTCAGGCCTAGAGCCAGCTGTACCCAGGGGGTTGGCCCAGAAAGTAGGGATTCCCTCTCTGCCCTGCCCACTCTCTATGGCTCTTTGTCCTGGGGCTCTGTCCCGCTGTGGGGGGGGCCAGCTGGACCGGGGGCTTTGGGGAGAGGCCATGTTCAACTATTGTGTTCTGTGTGCCTGTCGTATCATGAGGGGTGCCTCATACATTGTTTTGTAGAATCCATACAGCACCCATATGCTGCTGCAGTGATTGCCCCACTTTACAGATGGAAAAACGGAGGCCCAGGGAAGGAAGGGTCTTAGCCAAAGCCACACAGAAATCAAGGGGCAGTCTGGGCCAAAAGCCAGCTGTCAAGATCTCTCCCTCTACCCCCCACTGTGGGTGTAGTTTGGGGATGCATTTTTAGCACCAGAGAGCTGGTGGAGCCCCCACCACCCTTCTCCCTATTCCCAGAGTCTCATCCCATCACCCCAGTCCCTCTGACCACTGCCTTTGTAGACACACGCCCCACAGGGATCTGCAAGCTGAACGGCATGTTGGCTCATCAGCATATTGGCTCCGTCTGGCCTCAGACGGAGTCTGAATCTTGGTCCTGACCCCCTCACGGATCCTGAGCTGGTCCCTGAGCATCATGGAGACTGTTTCTCTGCCTGTCACGTGGGACAATGACACCTTCGTGTCAGGGTCATGGTGAGGATTAGGGAGAAATCTCGGGGAAAGAGCTTGTAAATGGCACTTACGCTCCCTAGGAACCTGCTCTCTCTTCCCTCCCAGCTTGTGGTTGACCTGTCATGTCACTATTTTTATTTTTAAGCTCTTCAGGGCATCATTCCACAGGCCCCACACTAAATAAATCATTATAAATCCATAAATACCTGTTGCCTAGGATGCATGACCAAACTAATAATACCATGCAAGTCAGAAAATGCTTCTGGCTGACACACAGGTGATGTCCCGCTTAGCCTTCCCAAGGCACCCACCCACTTAACAGATGAAGCATCCAGGGGCCCCACCCAAGGCCCCAGACTTATGGCAGATTTGGGGTTTGGGTTCCCCTCTCAGCAACCACAGGGACTACTTCTGGGGCTGTAGATGGCCCGGAGCAGAGGGATACCCCCCTTTTTAGGGCCTGTGTTAACTCCTCCTGCACCAGCCTTGGCAGACTGGGAGCGCCCAGGAGGGACCCTGGGAGCCGAGAGGCACGTTCTGCGGCTTCCCGTGTGATGTCAGAGCCCGTGGCTCGCTCTGATGGCAGGTCTGTTCTTTTCCAAGCAGGAGGAATGGGCCAGCTGGACAGCGAGCCAGGCCAGGGTGATTCACCCACAACGGGATGCAGTTAGTGGGGAGCTGACTCGGCAAAAGGAAGGAGGGCCGAGGAGGCAGCGGGGAAGGAGAGAGCGGCGGCTGCCCACTTGGAGGCCTTCCAGCTGCCCATCAGGAGGAGGGAGGGAAGGAAGAAGGAACCGAGAGTCGCCGATGTTGGACTCAAAGGCGGGTCCCAGGGCCAGCTCGGATGTGACCCGGGCGCGATGCCGCGGCCCTCTGGCCCCCACGTCCCCACCTGCACGGCGGGGCGGGACACAAAGATCAGCAAGGTTCCTCCCAGCACCTCCTCTCCTTTACTGAATCTGGGGCCAAGGGCTGGGGAGTGGACATGCCTCCGCTCGGCCTCACTGGCTCCTCGTGGCCCTGAAACGCTGGCGTCCACACGCTGCTTCCTGAGCCCTCTCCTGGCTCATTCCCCAGCGAGGCCTCAGTGCCCATGTTCGATGGGAACTGCACAGTTCTAGTCATTACATGACTGATGGGCACTTCCCTGGCTGGACTGAAAGCCCCAGGAGGGCAGGCACTGTGTCTGCTTTTGTTCTGGTGCCGGGCACAGAGCCGATGCCCAATGCATCTGTGCCAAACATGGGTCTACTGGCTCCTGCCTCCCGGCCGCCGAGATATGAGCAGGGGTGAGCCTGCTATGAACCTCCCGTGCTCTCTGGGCACAGCGCCCAGGGGCTTGGTCCTGCCAGCCTGGATATCAGGGAGCAGCTGCCTCCCACGAACCAATACCCACCTTTTCGCCCTTTGGTCCTGGAGGCCCGAGGGGTCCCATGATGCCTTTGTGTCCCTGCAGGAAACAAGAAGGCAAGGCAGGAGGTGAGAGCATGGGGGTGGGAGGACTCGGGAGGGGCATGTGATAAAGGACAGGAACTCAGAAATGGAGACACTGGTCTGTGCGACTGGGTCTTGGGTCCTGGCTCTGCCCTGATTTGCTGTGTGACTTTTGAGCAAGCCCAGTACCTCTCTGGGCCCTGGGCCTCCTAGACATGCCGTATGGGTCCTACATACACATGTAAGGGTAGGTCCACTTGGATGGTTGAGGATTCTGACTACCCCGCCCGGGAGCAGACCTGGGACAAGATCTTGGGACAGCCAGCTGTGTCCTCTGGGGCCGGGCAGAATGCTTGCCTCAGCAGACTCTCCTGGGCGGTGGCCAGACCTCACATGTGGATTCCTCCGTGGGCTCCCGGCACCTCTCTCCCAGTTTCCATCTCCTTTTCCCGTCTTTCTGTTCTCCTCTCCCCCTCATCCCGACCTACTGGATCTCTTTCAGACTCCAGATCCCACCACTAACTTAACAAGCTGTCAGACTGTGCACACACATCCTTAACCCCCCAGGGCCTCCCTTTCCCTTTCTGAGCAAGCCCTATGCCTCTCTGAGGCCTGGTGTCCCAGATGTGGGTTTGGCTCAGCTTCCTCTAGGGGGTGCCAACTAGTATGTGAAACTGGGCTAAGGAGCTTTCCTTCCACAGAGCACAGATGGGCAGCTCCGACAGGAGGTACGGGGGGGCACCCACCCTCAGAGGACTCAGAGAGGGTGCACCCTACCCCGCCTGGCAACCAATGGTCCTTGACCTCCTCCCTGGTCTGTGGGCCCAGGTGCTCCCTGGGGTAGGTGAGACTATGAATCTCCAATGGCCCGAGGGCTGGCCCCCAGGTGGGAGGTGGTGGAGGCAGAGGACCCAGGCCTGCTGGAGAGAGTTGCAGAGAGAGGGGGAGGGGAGGTTTCCTTACATCGTAACCAGCCAGTCCTGGTTCTCCTTGGGCCCCCATCCGTCCTGGAGCACCCTACGAGAGGAGGAAACCCGCACTGGTAAGGAACGTGGCTCTCACAGCAGGGACTCGGGCTCTGCCTGTCCCCCAGGCTCCCGCCCAGTTCTGCCCAGCAGCCTGGTGTGTTTATTTCACCCAGAACCCAGGCGGAGGTCAAGGTGAAGCACAAGTGGCACTGTCCCATCCGTCCTGGGGCTCCCCTCCTCCCCCAGTCCTTCTCTCGGCTACAGAGGTTCCAGAGACCCGATGTCTCCAATTTCCCCAATTTTGTGAACAGAATGGTTATGAAAAATTAAACTACGTGAACTTACAGTTCAACCATATCAAAAACAAAGACAACAAATATTCAAACCTCACTCCTTCCTAATTATGTTACATTTTACTACTTATTACTTATGCTCAGGAGGTCATCATGTCTACTGCATCCGTGTGGCGGAAACACTAGCTAACAGAGTGCTCCTGCGAGCCTGCCCCACTGTGCATCCAGTGACATCGTGTTGGTAGCTTTAAATCAGCCCTGGCGGGCAGCATTTCCACCATGGAAATGAGCAAGTGCCACAGGCCAGCATAGCTGTTTACCACACACGCTGGCAGCTCAGAGAGGTGGCATCACCCTCATCTGCCCCTTCCCCTTGCTCCTCTGAGGGTCTCCTTCCCCCTGCAGCTGTCACCCCCCCTCAGGCCAGCGAAGGCCTGGGACAGTATCAGGATCACCCAGGGGGCTGCCGCAGCTTCACCCTGATCCTCATGAACCTACTGCCAGTGGGAAAACTCCTTGTTCAATAAAAACACACCCAAGAGCCTGCTGGCGTGGCTCAGCAGTTGAGCATTGACCTAGGATCCAGGAGATTGCGGTTCGATTCCTGGTCAGGGCACATGCCCAGGTTGCGGGCTCCATCCCCAGTGGGGGGCGTGCAGGAGGCAGCCGATCAATGACTCTCTCATCATCGATGTTTCTGTCTCTCTCTCCCTCTCCCTTCCTCTTCCTGAAATCAATAAAGACATATTTTTTAAAAACACATAAAAAAACCCCAACACGCCCAACGGTCTGGTTTAACTAAGATTAAGATTAAGCAGGGCTCATTAATCTGGGTCTTCAGGAGACCCACAGACTCCATCAGATAGCGAGAAATGCTGTGTGTTGTGTGCACTCTTCCAGGAGAAGGCTGCAGCTTCTGCAGGTCCCCAAAAGGATCTGTGATTCAAAGGAAGTGGCTGGGAAAACAGGTGTTCAGCCGACAGTTGGAGAGGGGGACACCTCCCTTTCTGCCCTTGGCCCTCTGCTCCGTGACCCACCCCACCCCACCCAGAGAGTACTCACCGTTGGTCCCAGGCTGCCCCGGGACCCTTTAGGGCCTGGGGTGCCAGGGGGTCCAGGGTCTCCAGGGGCTCCCATCTCACCCAGCTGTCCTTGGTAGCCCTTGGCACCCTGCAGCGGGAGGAGAGACAGGCTGTCACCAGGTCTCAGGGGAGAGGTGGGGGAGTGGGAGGGGGACATGGGCGGATCACGGCAGAAGGAGGTGGGGGGATCTTACCTTGGCCCCGGTCCGGCCCTTCTCGCCTTGCTTCCCTGGTTGTCCTTCAGGACCCTGATGGAGAAGGAGGGAAAGAGGAAAAAAGATGGGAAATGAGGGACAACTGAGGCAGGTCCATGCAGCATCGCAGCACTAGCTCTAGAGGCCAGCTGCCTGGGTTCACGGCTGATTCTGCCCTCAGTATCCACATGACCTTGAGTGTGACCTAACTTCCTGTGATGGGCGTATTTGTCTGTGAAGTGGGGACAGTGGTATTTCACAGAGCTGAGGATTCAACCTGGTGATACAGTCTCATGTTTACAAGGCGCCTGGTCCACAGACACTGCTGGATACATGGCTGTTGTCATGGTTACTGTTAGGTGCACCTGCCCTGCCTCAAGGTGGGGGTAATCTGTTGAAATGTTTGTATTTTGGATATTTTGAGCTAAATAACAGGTTACTACAATTAATTCCACCTGTTTCTATTTACCTTTAAAAAATGTGACTATTAGAAAATTTAAATCACACGAGTGGCTTGTATTTTGTTTCTGTCAGACAGCCATGGACTTGACAATCTCAAGGTCTCTTGCTCTTCCAGTAATAATACACTAACAATCGTCACAGCCTCAACCACGGCCAGGCACTGTGTCTACACTCTACCTCTTATCTCATTTGATTCCCATTATAGAACTGGGAGGATGGGATTATTTATCCCATTTTAGAACTAAAGAAACTGAGGCTCCATGAGACGAAGGCGTTGTCTGCAGGTCACCCAGCCAGGTTAGAAATGAGACATGAATCCTCAGTTTCTAGGTACCCCTTGGCCCAGGCAGGCCCAGGCTGGCCCAGGCTAGGGAACTGTAAAATCAGGATACAGGGGCTGATGGAATTGGCTGATGGAATGAGGTGACTCTGATGGCTGATTCCTTGTCAGAAGGAGATATGAGTCAGTGCTGAAGTGTTCAGTACAGGACCAGGGAGATGGAGTCTCCCCAGGACAGGGCAAGCAGCCAGCCACTTATTCTGATGGGCCCTCTGCAGCTGGGAGCATCCCCCATGGTGTGGGAAAGCCTGAGTAAGTGCTGGCACATCCAGTGGGGTGAGGCTATGGGGCCAGAATAAAGACTTTCACTGGCCCCCATCCATATAGATATATTTCTGGAAAGGCCCTGATGGCTCATAAAATTCTATTTTTAAATACTCAACTGTTTCCAGCCACAGACTGGGAGATATTGTCCTGCAGCCCTGACACCAAAGAGACTCAAATACAGGGTTCTCACCACCTCATCACCCCACACACACTCAGTCTGGCCCCAATGAACCTCATTCCACTTCCAACATATGAGAACTGGGAGTGACAGGAAAATATGGACATAACAGTGCTACCACCATCACAACCACTAAGACCACCTGCACCACCACGTCCACTGTGATCACTACCTCCATTGCAATCACCATCACCAACATGCCACCATCATCATCGCCACCTTCACCACCACCACCACCACCACCTTCACCACCACCATCATCACCACCACCACCATCATCACCACCACCACCACCTTCACCACCACCACCACCACCACCTTCACCACCACCACCACCACCACC